GACTCGGCGTCCGACACGCTCAGCGAGACGGACTCGCAGAAGTCCCTGCGCATGCGGCGCAAGCTGCCGCCCATCCCCGACCACGAGCTGAGCGCGCTCGCGGCGTGCGCGTTCCCCGACTCCAAGGCGGCCCACGACAAGTTCAGGTGAGGCAGCGCCGGCCTCGGGCCGGCCACGAGGAGCCTGCTCGCCGGGCCGGTGCGCTGCGTCTCGTCCCGGGAGCGCTCGTGGGGGCTCGGGCCTCGCCAGCTGCAAGCGTATCGCTCCGAACCGGTGGCTGTGGGCGCGCTGCAACGCGACTCGCTCCGACTCGAACCGGCACGGCTCGGCGCCGCGCAGCTCGACTCGTTCCGGTTCGGATCGGCCCGGATCGGTTTTGATCTGCTCGACCCAGTACTGTCCGGTTCGGCGCGATTCGTTCCGGCTCGACTCAGTTCGATCCGATCCGGTTTGGCACAGCTCCAATCGGTCCGGTCCGAACCGGCTCGCCTCGGTTTGGTCCATCTTGACCCTTTCCACCAAGACTCGAATCTATACGGATCTTATCGACCATATACGAGTAATTTTAAAACGGAATGGACTAGTCAGTATGGTCACGCATCAATATAACGCAGATCATGAAAAAGTTGAAAGTTTTATGAATACCCAAACTGAAAATATATAAAAAATATGAAATAAAAGTAGCCATATCTGTGATAATTTACTGGAATTGTTGACTAGTGTAACACCGAAACGTCTCGTTAATTTCCACTAATACGCTCAACAATTTCCTCTATTCGTCGCAAATGCGACAATTACGACTTGAACATTTTTGTTCACTATCGGAACTGCAAAACTCTGACGTCAAACTTCAGTAATGCCCAGGAACTTTATATATTTGTGGGCCGAGACAGTTTAACTCGCGGTTTGTAGATAGACGTTAACTATCTCGTTATCGAAGCTTCGAGCATTATCTAGTCCGCTACTTCATACAGTATACTCGTAGTAAACGTAGTACGTGTGACCCCGACCGTAGAATTGGGGTCATTACGGGTCGAGATGGGGCAGGCCGGGTCGAGACGGAATTGCCGACCCAAGCCAGATAATACCAACAATATTGTGGCTGACCGACTGCCGTATAACATCCTACAGAAATTCTGTTAGCGCGAAAGCGTTTATAAACACGACGATATTCGACGGATGTGGGAATGGAACCAGATCGGAAGATGCGTCTTTGCAATCATCGAACGGACAATAAAACAAGTGAATTAACCCTTCTCACGTCGGACGAACATCGGCGTATGTTCAGCCTGTCTACAAAGGATGCAAGACGCTGACTGGAACAGGAATGAATGGCCGTCAGTTAAAAGGAAGATGCATAGTGTTAATAAGAATGGCTCATAAGTAAATGATATTTTTTAATGCTGGTGACATGTAAGCCTTTGCTTTTGAGAAAGCGAGAAGTTGTTTAAATCAACGAAAAATACGAATATTTTGTGCGATGCCCGCCATTTTATACATAACGTTCACTTTCTATTTTCACGGCCTATCCCTAGTTTTGCGTGTTACGTCCATTGTAAACAGGTTTGCAAATGAAATTACCTCAAAATTGTAAATAAAAAGTTGAGAGTGTAGTTTGTAAGACTGGAGAGCACAGTTCTAAAACATTGAATTTGAAAACCAGTCTTCGTGCCAATCGCCAAGACTGTTACAAACACGCGCCTTCTTCACGCCTTATTTTGCATTAGAGACACATCGCCAGAACTACACCAAGACCTCTCCCTATCTGTGCGGTTTAGTCTCACGGTGCGGATCTCGGAAGCCTGTCATATTGGCCATAGACACGTGCCGTGAGAAAGCGACTATCCGCTTTGAAAAAAAGCAGCAGTCTTTGCATTTACGAAGGCTAGTAAGATCAAGGATATTGCAAATATTAGAAATAAGCATACAATAAATGTATGCTTACTATAAAAGTGACAAAATGAGTTCAGATGCCGTATCGACTATTAGTCATCTTTTGATTGTCTGATTATATTCATCGCATGTTGGAATATGGAATTGTAACATTTTCCATTGTATTTATATTTTGTACTGTGACAGAGATCTTGAGCGTGAATTCTTTTCTGAACAAAAAATGGATATTTAATATTATACATACAAAATTACATTGTTCGTTGTTTTCACATTAATCTGACGAACGTGTACCTTCTGTTTCATAATTGTGCGGTTAACAATTTCACGGTAATGAACAGTATTAAAACTATTTAACCATATACTTCTTTAATACCGGTATGTGTTTATTTACGAAGATAGGTTTGCAGAAACATTTGTTATTTTTTTAAGCAAAGTTTGTGTGTTAAATGTTAATCGTAAGCCAATGAAGATAGATCTACTGACTCATAGCTAGTAAATTATTCATCTCAGATAAATAATCCATGATCAATAGAAGATATATTTTAAAAAATGTATTCTTTTTTGAAAGTGAATTAATAGTATTCCTCAGATAAATTTACACTCCAATAATGAATTGACATTCTGTAGAGATAGATACACAATTCATAGCACTCCAACTGCCTATGAGTGATGCAAAACCAACGATGTTTTCTTTTGAAAAACTCACATGTTCTAAACTGTTGAATAAGTTATTCTCTGAAGAAATCTTAAAATGTTTTCTTAGAATATATTGCACTCTTTTCATCAATAATTCAAATTAATCAGATTTGATATTAGAAAAGTCAAATATTCAGAATTTAGGAAATATAGTATCTTAAAATGTATTTCTTAACAATAAATATATATTCAGTAAAGTTACATTTGATGTAGAATAAAAGTGTATTTTTCACTCTTTATATAGCTACTTGGCAAGTAGCAAATAAGTACAACTGTGCAGAAAGAATTCATACTGCCTATAACTACCAGCACAATTGCTCACAATTATAAAACCTTGTGATCTCATATTGTTACTCATTAAATCTAGGTGTAGTTGCAATTACATAAGAAGCCAAGCAAATATAAGACTTCTCGATATCTTTTTTTTTTTTTTT